GCCTGCGCGCCGCCAGGTAGGGCCGAGCGCGGGGCGCCCTCGGCGCTCCCGCCTGCGCCCCGCCGCGCTCTCGGCGTGTGGTTTTCTGTTTCTTATTTACCATTTCGATGTTCGATTTATGTATCTTGTTTATATATATATGTATTATATGTATATGTATATTATATATATATATATGTATAAGTATATATAAATCTGTGTAAAAGCAGGACATTTTTTTACTGCGAGGCCTTCAAATGTCGGCAAGTTGTGCCTTACTGGTAGAATAAAAATGCTTAAGTGTCACTACGGCCCCATTTCTGCATATTTAGGTGCCTGAAGCGGTTGTGAGCAGACAGAGTGACTCTGCAGATAACACTCGGCCCTGCTTGATGATTTGGGGATATCTTTGTAGGAGCATCATCAGCTTTCTGGCCTTGGGGTGCGAAGCTTTTAAGAATACCTGTCTCTTTCCTCATACCCTCAGTGGCAGCATTTGTGGGACAATGCGAGGAGCTTGTTCAAGACGCTGATCAATCTAAAACTGATCTTTTTTTTGTTTGTTTTTCTTTTTTTTTTGAATCTCCTCTTCCCCTCCCCTGGCACATAGGTTGATTTTCAGTAGGGCAGCCCCTGAGCTGTATTGCCACATTTAACCTCCAGCACCAGTCCTGATGTGGGCAGGGGGATGGTGGCAAAGGCTGTCTGGGCTCTTTTCAGTCCATGTGTGTTTGCAAGTCTTATTTAAGCGTGGGAAGATTCTAAAAAAGAATGTCTGTGGTTGTGGAACGCAATTTAATGTATCAGAGGAAGAAATGGCAGGTTTGTTGACATAGTCAGACTAAAACTCAGACTAAACAGTAGTAGGAACCACCACTGAGGAGAGCTGATTAGTTTCGCTTTGATCTGGTCTTTCCTATGGCCCCCAATGCAATACAGGAGGCAAAGTCTGAATTGGCTGCCATTTTCAAACCATGCTAAAGGTACTTAATCAGCACTTGCTGCATAATAATGCAGATGTTATTTTTATTTTATACCTAATTCTTTATGTACCTAAGACATGAATTCTAACATATTTTCCAGGTACGTATGTTAAATATTTGCAAACTGTACTAAGAGAAATATGTAATGCAGTCTCTTTAGGAAAGACGTGAGAATTATCAGCCTGGATGGACTGTATTTTTTGCTACGTCTTTTTAATTCTGAGCTGTTCTACCTCCTCCAGGAGATGTTCGTTCTGAAGGTCTGTCACAGCATCAACAGCAGAAATTTTTGCATCAGTCACCTGGGACTTCCTTCAGGAAAGACCAGTATTTTCCGAAAGGGCAGAACAGAGGAGGGAGAGGGAGAGGAAGAGGAGGATGCCAGAGTGCTTCTGATGAAATGCCTCGATACATTACAGGTTTGTATTTATTAAAAAGGTCATAATTAAGTCCAGGGCAGCTTGCTAGTAATCAAGTTTTCTGACTTTGTTTTGGTGAAATAACAAAACAAGGACTGGAGCTATATTTGGCATGTGCATTTAGTCTTTTGTTTTACCGAACTTATTTTGAAAATACAAGAATATTTGTGTACTAGGAGTGACCACTAGTTTTTCAGCAAGTCCTGTCAGGCCTCTTGAGTTGAAACATTTCACTTCCTTGTAAGGAAGAATAAGGATTTTGATGCTGCTTGCCAGCAAAATGAATTCCAAAACCTGTTTTTAATGTTGCCAGTGAAACTGCTTATCTTCATGATATGAGTTAAAGACAAGTTTTCTTCTAACAGAACCTTTATTTAGGAAAGCAAAGGGACAAACTAGTTTTTCAAAATATGGCAGTGCTATGTCTATGAATATGCTTCCACAATCGTAAAGGGGATCCGCTTCTTCCTTCACTTGATTATTTGATATTTAAAAAAACACTCTTTGAGTACTGCTTCCTGTTACTACATGTTGAAGTTTTTCCACCTCTGTGAACAACACCTGAAAAGAAGGCTATTGTAGTTTAATAGAAAATTACTTAATTCAAATTGAACTTCTTGGTTATACCACAACTTCCAAATTTATGCTCTTACAAGTATTTGCTTAAGCATGTCTGTAAACTTCAGAGTATCTAACGAATGGAAATTTCTTCATTAATAGACAATGAAATATTTATTTTTTTCTGAAGGAGTCATTAAATTGGTGTATTGTAGTGTTCTGCTGGAATTCAATAGTTTAAATAGAGCGTCCCCTCTTTTGATTTTTAACAGTTGTCCTACTCTGATGTGATGGTTCTCATTCCAGCATCTACTTTTGCTCAAGCTCGTGCTGCTGAGATCAATGCCATGTTGAAGGCTGTGGCGCAGAAGTCTTCGAACTCACTGGTTTTTCAGACACTACCAAGGCACATGAGGAGACGAGCGATGAGTCACAACGTCAGGCGCCTACCCCGGCGCCTCCGAGAGATTGCCAGAAAAGAGGTACAAATGCATTTGATAGTATTAGAAAAGCTACACTCCATACTGAGCAACATTTGTCAGCATTATTCTTCATCATGTGCATGTAGTTCCTTCAGAAAGCTTAACCTCTGTGAAAGCATCTTAAGAATTACTGGAGGTATCAAAAAATATTTGTGGTTGATAGCCCTCATCTAGGGCTTGAAAGGTAACTGTGGTCTTTCGAGATCTGGGTTTAATATTCTGAAAGATCTGCTCTGGACTGCAGATATTTTGAAATCTGTGGGTGTGGTTAATTCGGGTAATTTGGGCTATGGTTAATTCGGGTAATTTGGGCTATGGTTAATTCAGGTAATTTTATCAGAACAGGAATAAACTGTCAGTAAGTTAATAGGTCCCACCAACCTGCTGTCTATGGGTGTGAGTGTTACCTAATTTAGTGTACACCTTTTGCTTGGCTGTGCAGACACAGGGCTTTGCTATGTAGAAAGCTTGCTGAGAAGTCCCACACATAGGCTGTGAATGGTGGTGTTCTAGCATTTTCATGATGGCTTGTTATTTGGAGATGGTGCATATGGTCAGTGTGAGGTACTTTGCTTTCAGAATTAAGGTGTTATAGCTAATGTACAGTGTTCAGTTACCTATTACTAATGTTCAAATTGGAGCTTATCTGCAAAACCTCAGTCTTTACACACTCTCAAACTTTGACTGATGTTCGGATCCAAGACATGGAAACACTTGAGTTCTAGATGTTAGTCCAAGCAGATCACTAACTACTTGGCTTCATGATTATTGAACTTCTTGAAAAGTCATTAGGGTAGTGATGATGCAGTTGGCCACTACAGGAGGGACTGTTCTGGTGGCACTTCTGGATCCCAGGTGATCCAGGAATCCTCAGTAGCACCTGTGTAGCCTGCAGTTGGGGACTGTCTTCCTGCAGGGCTCAAGCCCTGAAAAGTTCAGGAAGTCCAGAAAAGCCCCAGAAAAGTTCATGTATCTTTGCTGAAGCTTGGAAGCTACATGAAAATCATGAGCAGGTTTGCATGCGGCATGGTGCCTACCTACTGGCTATCCCCGACTGCTCATAAAACTTTCCTTTTGGGGCAGTATCTCAGGGTTTAGTGACAATGCTCCCATATAGTTGCATGGTCCTTACGTGCTATGCAATTACTGTGTGTGGTGATGGTTTGTTTGATGGGATTTTTTGGTGGTATTTTTTTTTGGTTTTGTTTTCTAGGTTCAATAGAATTTCGTTGTGTCTTCTCTAATGTTTGACGTACATCATTTTTTCTCTAGACACTTGTTAGAGTGATTAAATGGGTTTGAGAAATTTTCTCTGTGTTGAGGTTGACTGACTGACGTGATTTCTTACATTCTTTTTTTCCCTTGCTTTGCCTTTTTCAAGTTCTCTGAGATCTTTGGCCCTTCTCCATGGGTTCCTGAAGGTAGTTGTTCATGATTCAGAAATGGCTTCAGGCACTTTTGCGGATGCTGATCAGAGTGTGCTTTATTGGATCTCCACAATGACGGACCTCCCTTTTCATTGCTCTACACAGCCTTCCTTTTTCTTTGTTAGTAGTGGCAGGAGAATTCATGCAATTTGGCCTCTTTCATGAAAACATTGAAGACATTGAGTATCTTGCATCATTCGTCATGAGGTCTGTCTTTGCTAAGTAATAGTGATTTCTTTATGCCTCATTCTTATGTCTCCTGCACTTTTTGATTCCTTTATGTAGTAGCCTTTCTGACTTCTTTGTACATGCTCACATCTAGTGTCAGGTGCTTGTTTCCACTCATGGTATGATTTTTCTCAGATTTTTTAGATTACTTGTCTCTGGTGCAGTTATATCTCTCTTGGTATGTTTTCTGTCCAGGGGTCTTTTGGTGGAGTTTGTTAGTTTATAGTTGTTTGTGTAGTTAATTTACTTGTATTCTTTTTATCCCATTTCTTGCAGTTTTGACATCTGTTGAGCTATTGCCTTTTCTAAAGGCTTTCCTGTGAGTTCTCACTGTATTAAGTTACTTCAATCAGGTCCACTGTCACGATTCTGCTGCAATTTCTTCTGTTTCTTAGATCCTTTATCATAAACGCTTTCAACCAAACACTTATCCAGACCATCTCATATGTCTTCATAACCTTGAAGACAATCATATTTTTTGTCTACAGTACCACATTTTTTTCCTAATCATTTTTCTGAGTAAATCAGATATTTATCAACCATTTTCCAGTGGCATATCTTGCTTACTCTGAGGCTGAGTGATGTCAAGGGTCATGTCTTGGGATTTGTGTTATTTTTCTTGCATTTCTCTTTGGACATCATGGGTTGCTTTAGTGTTTAGTGACCTATAACACTCTTATTCCCTCCAGATCCCAAAGGAGCACACAACTATTTTTATAACCAAAGACCTCTTGCTAACTGCTCCTTGGTGAGTTTAGGAAGGACATCCGAAGATACGCTTTTTTTGGTCATATGAATCCCTTTTTTTCTAGCACTTCTCTTTGCAAAAAGAAAACCTAACTCTTAAGAGAGTCAGCCATGCATTCAGTCCTAGTAATTTTGTTTGTGACTGGATGTTTATTCGGAGGTTGATAAGCAATTGCCAGTACCCTGTCCTTGTTCACACTTGCACCTTGCAGAAATGCTCAGTATCCTCATGTGCTAGCTGGCAGTCTTCTTAATGCAGTATCTATGGTTCTAAGGGGCAGGTGAATTAGAGATAGATTTCTGTGACTCCTGGTGCTCAGCATATTATCGCATAACATGTGAGACAGACTAGGTAATTTGCCAATCTGGGCTGTGCAACAGGTAATTTGGGCAGAAGAGGGATTAGCAAGAGATTTTATTTAGCTCTCAGTTGTTGTTTCTTTTAACAGCACAAGAAAAGTCATTGCCTTATTTCTTCTAAAAAATTAGCTGGTAAAGTTCATCTTTCTTTGTATACCTCAGTACAGGAGAGAAATTATTTTCTAATATGTGGCCAGTACCTAAATTATTTACAATTTTTTTTTTATACCCAGTAGGAGCAATGAATAAGACTGTCTTTATGAAACCGAAAATCCATCTTAAAATGGTTGGGTACTTTCTTAACCTTAAAATCATTTTGAAATTATTTTGACATTTCTTTAACTGTCTTTTGTTTTTAGTTGTTGGTAGCATGTTAACTATGTTGCATTTCTTGTGTTCACCCAGTTCAGGTGTCTCTAAAAAGATTAGTGTATTTAATAAAGGACTTACTTCAAACCTAGATTTTGATAAAGTTATGGGAGTGTTAAGGTGGTGTAGCCAAATACTGTACCATTGACAAGATGGACAACAACCAAATGTTATGTTTATTATGCCAAGATTTTTCTTGGGCTATAATTCTCTTGGAAAATTCAGAAGCTAGATTCTGCATGCTTCCCTTTAAATGTCCCTCTTGTGAAAGGCGAGTCTGTTAAACAGAGCAGAATAGAGCTGAATGAGGAGTCTGTAGTGCTTCTTTACGACTTCTAATCTCCAGGTGTTCCTAAAGTCATGGGGTTTTTTTGTGTGTGGAGGATGTTTTGATGATGAATAAAAAGTTCAAACAGGAGGTGGCAAATCTTACTGTTCACTGGTAAGTTTCTCAATGTGGGGAACTAGATTTATCTATAGGTTCTATGCATGTTTATCTATAGGTTCCAGTCAAACCATGATGCACATGTGTATATAAAATTTTCAGTGTTAGTTATCTTCAAATGAGGTGGTAGACTTACAAATAACTAATATCGGAATACAGTATAACTCAAGCTATGCTGGTATTTCCTGTATCCTCCTATATGTTAATCCCTTCTGTCAATATAAGTTTCTGAGTCTGAGCTTTGCTTCATTTTACTCTTTTAAACCCAGGCAGAGAAAACTGTGCATCAGAAAAAAGAACAATCCAAAGCGAAATGCCGCAAAGCCAGAAGGCGCCACATCAACTTGGTAGCAGAGTTTAATCGCAGGCAAAGAAAGAATATATGGCTGGAAACACATATTTGGCATGCAAAGAGATTTCACATGATAAAGAAATGGGGATACTGTTTAGCGGATAGACCTACAGAGAAGTGCTACAGGGCTTGTTACCGAGCCATGACAAAGCACTGTCTTCTTCAGGTACCACGTTTGCATTTGTTTTCTTTGTTATTTTGCCAAGGAAGAATAATTGGCTGTTTGGTTATAATGAATATTTCTGTCTCTTTGAAGTGCTGTTATATCAACTGTTAATAGCTAAGTATGAAGTGAGTAATTCCATAACTATAATCAAGGGTGGGAAGCATCAGAGGGACTAAGATGAACCTTTAAGAGAGTCTTACATATTCGAATGGCAAGTTGGACTGAAATATGACATCTTCCTGAATTAAAGCTGAGAGATTCAGTGGTTCCCTCTATGAGCTTCCTGAGTAGGATGTTGCTGAAGACAGACACTCTATTGCATGACCTTTTTTGTCTGTTGGCTTGAGAGGCAAGTTAGCCCTGGAATAAGAAATGCTTGTAAGCCCGCTTATATCTCACAGTTTTAATTAAAAAAAAATCACTACTCGATGCCTCTTTTACTAAAATTATAATGCCTGAAAAGTTACTACTTTACTGTAAAGTCATTAAGCTCTATCTCATACTTCTTTGTCAGGTTCACTTTAAAGAGTTATTCTGACTTTAGCACTATCCTGTTATTTCAGGATTTATCATATTATTGTTGTCTGGAGCTGAAGGGTAAAGAGAATGAGCTTCTGAAGCAGCTTGCTCGAGTGTGCAGTCCTGACACAGGTAATAGTTAACTATTTTGAAGTAAAGTTAAGATTCTGAGTAGACTAAAGGATGACTCATGTTTTTCTTTCTTAAATATCTTACTGAAACCAATCTGAATAACTGTAACTGAGTTGGTATTCAGTTGTGATTTTCGTTGGAAAACCTATTTGATATGTCTCACACCAGGATCAGACTTTTCAATTGTTTATTTAAAAAAATCCTGTATGTATCCTTTATTTGGTACTGTCCCAACAAGCAGTATTTTTTAAGAGACTACTTTGATTTTCAATAAGTATGTTTTTCTTTAGGGTTAACATTCGGAACGGACTTTTGTCTGTCTGGAAGATTCCAGGGTTCCCTGGACCTTTACCGGGCAGATCGTTATCCTGAGGATTTGCTTGGCCCTGTTACATTTATTTGGAAACCCAGGGATGTGTCTGAAAACAGACAGTTATGGATCTGGATGCATCCAGCTCTCAAACAGGTATTTTGTTCCTTGATCTCCAGTTTTTTCATGCACTGAACAGCAAAATTAAGATTATTCCCTTAAGTTTGCACAGGAAAATAAAATGATGTATATAATTCTTAAAACTCTACTTAAGATTTGCAGTACACTGCTTATCCTCTTATCAAATTTTTCATTTATCCATAGGATATACTGAGTGAGTTAAAGGCGATTTTTCAGTGTTCAGAGCCTGAAGAAATCTGTATTCCGGAACCATGTGCAACATTAATTCAAGAGGAAAAACAAACAGATACTGCTGTGAGCCTCGGCAAGAAAAGGAAGAAGGAAGATAAAGAGGGAGAAAAAGATGTGCCAGTGAAAAAAATAATCGGTGATGGAACTAGAGATCCACTGCAGCCCTACTCCTGGGCCTCGCCAGCTACTGGCGTTGTGATCAGGTTTGTTCATAGCAGGATCAGGAGCGGTGACTCTTGGTGAGCGTTCAGACTTGCTTTCCCAGTACTCTGTTCTGCACTGTGTGGGTGCCACTAATGGGGAAATTCCCTCTGTTTCAGTGATCAAACTATGGAGATTCTCAGATACCGGCTGATTGGCCCGTTATCACACTCGGTCCTTGCAGAGACCCTCAAAGCTGCTGCTCTACAAACAGTAAGGAAGTCAACAGTTTGGATACTACTGTGATTTTAATAAGCACGCGTCTAGAATGTGCAAATTCAGTAGTTGTTTTTGTTTTGTTTTGTTTTATTTTGTTTTATTTTGTTTTGTTTTGTTTATTTTTTGCAGTAGTAATGTATTGGGTGGAGAGGCCTCGAATAACCTGCATTCTTTGTCAAGTTGTGAGTTCAACTTCTTGAGCAATGAGTTAGAGCACTCTAGATGACAAGACATGTTATAGAAAGCTTCCATGTTGTAAATCAAATACTTATTTTTTTCCAGGATTTAGTATTTTGTCCGTTTCTTGGCGGATAGCATCACTCAGGTTTTAATATTTCTTTGTTTCTTGCAGCAAGCATGAGGAGGCCATGAAATCCCTGGTTTTCTATAAGAAATCATTAACTACAGACCTGGGAAGCATTTTAGGTTGTTTTGGGTGGCGTTTGTTTGTTTATGTTGGAACACAGGTTAAACCAACCTTGCTTATAGGGAGGTACTGTAAAATAGAGTATAGGAATAAATACACTTTCTGCTCAAGCATCAAGAAAAGTATATTTTTAAACTTGAAGAGGAGGGAAGTGACTATAGTGATTAAGGCAACTGGCAGTGAATTCATACTGATAGAAAATGCTAAATAACCACTTGAGTTTAGCTAGATGCTTCTTTTTGTTTTCCAGGAGATGGCGGATTCAGAGACAGAACTTAATAACTGGTGGGTAGAAAGCTGCAAGGACTCTGAAAAAGTATCTCTTCATCAGCGTCAAACTGCTATTTTTGAGCTATTAGAAGGTATTTGGGAGCATGGGTGGTATGGGAGGGAGGGAAGGGAAAATCCTCTTAAAATCTGCTGGTGGAAAAAATGGCATGCCAAGTTAGCTGTAATTTGGAAATGCTTATTCTTTACTTAATCAGAAATCATCCAAGTGAGGAGATAGTTGGGCAGTTACTGTTGTGTGTCAAAGATGTAGGAACTGTTAGATTGATTTATTTAAAGCAATAGTAATTCTCTGTGTAGTCCAAAATCTTAATCGATTCAGATTTCAGATGCTGAAGAGCTATACAGTGCAACATATACTTTCATAGTCTCCCATTCACATCCTTAAGTAAGAAAATACCTCTACAAGTAAAATGGTAGGCTTCCACCGAATTGAAAGTATTATTTATTGCTTTATAGATTTTTACTCTTACAAAATGGTTGTATATTTGGCAGAGATATATAAAGTATCATAAAGTTAACATCATCTCTTCACCTTCTAGCGCTGAAACAGGTAAGGAACTGCCTCTGGTAGATTCACTCAGTACTTGAGCTATCTGAGGTGAGGCACTTGATGGAGATGTGGAAAAACTTGTAAAAACATGTTTTACTTTCTCTCAAAGGAGAGGAGTTTGTTTTCCAAGAGTTTTGTCAAATACAAAGGATGAATATAGTCTTTAAGTTGTGAGAATGACTTCACTTATATGAATCTTACTACGAAGTAGCTCTTAAGCTGCTATTGCTGTCTCTGTTACTGGGCATTTAACAAGCACTGGAGAGTTTTCAAAACATGCTGAGTACTGTGGATTGCTTTTCTGGCTTACAGCCATGTCGCATCCCTTCAGACAAAAATGCACAGGACAGTGGTGCAGAAAAGCATCAAAGCTTTATTAGTGGTTTCTTCACAGTGTCAATCTGTGTATTTTTTAAGGGATAAGTTCACCTGCAGAAATGCTAGCAGGTACAATACTGGGCCTGACTGTTGGAGATCCTCGTGTCAACTTGCCAAAGAAGAAGACAAAAACCATGCCTGACCCTGAAAAATACAAAGGTAAAGTGCCTCTCACCAACTGGCGCAGGCAAGGGATACCATTTTTTCTACAGCTCTGTTATCATTTACTGTGATATTCCACTGATTCTATCTGTCTCTTGCCCTCTAGCATTCAAATTTGGAATTTTCTTTCCTCTTTCAACAGCACCGGTCAGAAACAGCTTGAAGGTTCTGTAGGTTTAAGAACAGCAATTGTGAGGGAGGGACTTGCACCAAAGCTGGTCTTGTGCTCAGTGGAAGCCTCTGTCTGACCATACAGATGATCCAGGTTCGAATCCTGGCAAGGCCAACCAGGTGCTAAAAGCTACTCAGAAGTTTTTTTTTTTTTCACTTTAGTGTACCGGATGCTGTATATTTTTCCCTCAAAGCTACCTGCTTTTTCATGTTTATCATCTTTGAATGATGAAATTCCAGGGCAAAAAAGAGCAGTGCAAGAGGAGCCTGTCAGATAGCTGAGGTATTAGGCATGTTTGCAAGTGAAGGGTGCATGCATGACTTCAGAAACTTTCATTTTAAAAATAGTTTATATAGCACTTCAGGCAGGTTGAATTTGAATGTCCTTGAAACGTGTGCAAGAGCGTATACAAGAGAGTCAGTATATGAACAGCTATGCAGGTATTTCCAGCTAGGTGACTGGATGCACTGTCTCACCTAATATGTGCAATACAACAGCTGGATAGCAAACAGTAGTAAATAGGACAAGTGAAAGGTTCCAGAGATTTTAAAATACTTCATTTTCCTGGCAGCTTGTTCCAAGATGTTAAAATAGAACCATATCTGTCACTTAAATCAGGTTGCACACTAATTTCAGTTACTCTCTTTTTTCTGTACAACTCTT